TGAATTATTAAGAGGTTCTCGTCAGCGGAAGGCCCAAGCATAAACACAAGTATTCGTTGGAAATTATTAAACATTTATGATTATGTTTGTGATTTGAGTGGCGCTATGAGAAAACTGTAGACTGAACATGTCATCGTTCTCTTCATAATCTTGGCTGTCATTGCTGCAGTTGCAGTTTGTTTGCATTTTATTTATTTATGTACCTTTTCATTCTAGTGTTGTCATGAAAGGCGACCGACTGTCTGTGGCATAAACTTCCTTTGTTCTGGTGCGCTTTCATTTTCTGGTTTTCATTTGACTCGTTCTTATTAAAAATAAATTATGAGAAATTACCAGTCATCAAAGAGAATCCCTCTCTGGGAAATTGTTTTGGTCTTTTAAATTCCCGGAATTAATTTGCATTGATTTGTGGCTCGCCAATTTTATAGTCTATCTGTTTGTTTGAATATATACAAGCAAATATATTTTGTCATTTTTGTTTGCCTGCGATTCATTCATTCATTGATTCATTTCAACGTGATGGGAATTCGAATCCGGTGCTTTGATGATGCAAGCAATGCAAAGGGAAATTAGAAAAGCGCAGTCATTTCTTTTATGAAAATGAAAATGTCAGCAAAAGCCAGGAAAAAAAATTCCCGGCATGTTTGGCATGTCTGTCCTCTCTGGGGTAATGTTTGTTGTTAAACACATTGCAAGAGCTGTAAACAACTTCTGTGGGATCCATGAAAACATTTCCATTTCGCTTGCTGTGCACCACCACCACCACCCACACTTTTCCGGCTCCCTCTTTCGAAAACGCATGACATCAACTATTTTATAGCGTCACGCGTTTCCATTGTGGGCGAAAGTCCAATACCAAGTCTGAGTTGCACTTTAGCGCCACTTGGGATAAGCAGTTGCACAAGGGGAATTTTCACCGATAAAACTGTATTAATATAATAAAAGCAGTAGTCATATAATTTTTTGCCTTTTTATGGTGGGTAGACGACTTACAATGAACATTAAATATTTACTTGGATGTGATTCAAGGTTTTCAAAATAGATAAGTGGATCAATAATATATTTAGTATAATAAACTATTATTAATTATTATTAAATTGTTTCAGGCTAACTTAATGCTAAATAAAGAAAGAAAAGATTCAGTTGTTAGGTTATATAAACATTTATAATTAAACTCTAAATGGGTTAAATTTCTTGAGGATTTACATCCGATTTATTTTAAAGTTCAGGATTGTAAAACCACTAGAATTTCTGACTTTTATTTTCTGTGTGTTTGACTTTATGATAAAGCCGGCGCTTGGAGCAGGTTCCAAGTTAAGTGAGTGGGGGCCACGATTAAAACACGATCATGTTCGCTAATGCTAAACAACACTTGCCAAGTGTCATTGGCAATTATCTGGGGCAGGCCATTCTCTCTTCATTTCTGCATTTCCGCATTGCTGCCTCTAATTTCGATTTCAATTAAAAACCCTGCCATTCTGCGGCAGATGCAACACTCGCCAAAGTTAATTAACTATTCATCTAAGTGTAGCAGAGTGTGTGGTTATGTGTGGTTAGCATTGTGAGTGGTTTTTTCGTTTGCTGCTTGATGGAACAAACGAAACGCTGACTGATTGCGCTTTTATGCTGCTGATGAGAAGACGAGCAAGTGTTAATTAAACCTCAAACTAGAAACAGTTACAAAACGAAAAACGGTTCTTGGCTTCTTGCGATTTCTTTTCATCCGAGCAGCAAGCATATATAAAAGTCATACAAGTTCAAGTTTGTTGTGGTTGTGGGTGATTTTCTTTCGTTTTCCCTCGTCATCTTGGCAAAATGTTCAAGCAGACAGCACGTGCTTCCAAATGGAGCACATCGGGGGTTTTATTTTAAAGATGCGAGGCAGTTGATGAATCAACAGAACTGCTCGCTGGACAGGAGATGCAATGCGGGGTCTCGATCCCGTTTCCTGTGACTTCAGTTTAAGTTCCCCAACAACACCTACGTCTTTTGTCTTCTGTTCTGTTCTTTTGGTTCTGACATGCACATGACGCAAGATAAAATGCATGCAACATTCACGGAAAAATTGAAAAAAAAAAAGGGTTTTTTTTTCATTGAAAAATATGTAAATACCCTAATTCTAAAGAGGCTAAGCAGGGGGTTCCATTACATTTAATATATTAATTAGAAGGGTATTTGAAGTGAATACCCTAATTCTTGGAGGTAGGAAACCTATCTCATTTTTAAGACAGAGCCGAATTTAAAATTTTGAATTTTTCTTAGCCATGATAATTCTGAATATTTGTTCAGCATCAATTATTATTCCCCCAACGCATGGCCAAACTGCCGCCCTTAATCATAATGCCCCCCGCAAGGGTAATAAACAAAAGTGAGCTGCCTAACGACACTTAGCCATATGTGGGGAAAAGCCAAGTATTCCTCTTCTCCGAAAATCTCAGCTTGCAATCTCTGGTATGGAATGCTAGTAAACAAGAGTGCGCCCCCACAGGCCACGTTTATTTCAAAACCGTATATACAAAGTCAAAGGAGAAGTGAACAGACCAGACCAGACCAAAGCAGAACAGAACAGAACCATTTCCGTTGCATGACCGTGTGCTTGGTTCGTGGCTTCAAGGGTCCTTAGAGAGTCACTGGCGTAAACGAGACAATGCCACTGAATAAAATGGGAATGCAGAGGAAAAAAGATAAAATATTTGAAATACAGAGAAATTTAGACATAGATAAGATAGATAGATCACTTCTTTTAAAGGGGTTGTTTATAAACTTTAGATCTTATTATAATAGAACAAATTTTTAAGATTTCATAACATTATTGAATGTTTTAATACATTATTTTTTTAAAAATTTACATTCTTAACTTAAAGACTCAAAACTAATTGTTTTTTTTCTTACTGTGCAAAATGGACCATTGAGGCCAAGTCAACGACAGCAGTCCGCATCCCCTTAATTTTTTTCCACAACTTCCCTCGCATTTTGTTTACTTGTTTGCTCGCGTTAAACATTCTGGGATGCTTCAAGTGCAGCAGCCAAGGACATGAGATCTTGACTTACAGACAGGTGTAAATTATGTAGAGTGAAAAGAAATGCCAGCACAGAGCCCGAGAATAAAAACAAAAGCCGAAACACCACAGATGCAGTGTTTGCTCTACCTTGCTAGCTGCAGACAGTTGCGTTCTTATTATTATGATTATGCCAAAGTACTCACGGCAGAATTCTAGGGAATGAGTTTTGCTGCTCTCATACACTGATAGTAAAAGGTATTCCTAAATTAAATATTTCATTTGTGAAAATAATGATTACTTTTAAATAATATCGTTAAATTTACGTTTTAGAATAATTTTTAAAAAATGGGTACTTTTTTCACCTAATAAATTTTATTCAGATTTTTTTAAAGGTATTACCTTTCAGTGTAGCTTTGCATTTTGCCTTCTGTCTGAGTGTTTGTTGATATGCGCAGCGATTTAATTATAAACACACAACACGTGCTAGTCCATTTTATTACGAAGAGGTGTGCAAACCAAAAATAACACTCGTTTACTTGAATGAAGAAGATACTCACACTCCAATACCCTGAGCTTGAACTTCGCAGACCAATGAGCTGTGTGTAACTCGCATGTTTTCTATATCGGAGTTTTAGGTCGAATCAGGGGAAGGGCAGTCTATATTTAATTCTATCTAATGTATGCCAATATGGTATAATCGGTTAGACACGCAATAACATCAGATGGGGGTATATAATTATCTAATTATGGTGTGCCTTGTTTGACCAAGAAATTGGAAAGCCATAATTAAACTAGCTAACTGTTAGAATTGACTCGATACCATAGTTTAAAGCAATAATATTCATTTCACAGACACCACTTTAAATCTTGAAACTTTTTAGAAGCTAATTTTTATGAATTTAATCATACGCATTAAGCTATTCTTGGAAAATCACTCACTAAAACTAAACTTTTGATAAACTTGCAGACCTTTAAGTGTATTTCTTAGAAACTAAGAAGCTTGTATAAATTTTTAGATAAGAATGCGTTAGCGAACGATAAGCTTCTCAAAGTGTTTTTTTTAGCAGTTTTAGCAAGCACCCTTTAATAATGTTCTCTAAAAATTTAAAAAATAATGGTAATAATTATGAAAAACATAATATCTAAACTGGTTGACGTTAAAATTGCATTCATTATTTTCTTTTAACCATTTATGACCACAGTTGAACTAAAATATTTGCTATATTATTAGCCACTTAAAATGTATTTGAAAAACGCCAAAAGACCTCAATTGAAATAATCAACGCCATTTGCTGATTGTATGTATGTCCGCCGTACAAAGTGAACTCTTCACATCATGCAATGACCGTTCGTTAGCTCCAGTTTCCCGGTGCCGCCGCGTGTGTTTTCCTTTATTTTATTATTTTTGTAGATCATAAAGCATCGATAAAAATCGCTGCGCCGGCCAATGCACGCGGCTTTCGACGTCGTTATTGTTGCATGTGCCGCAGAAATAAAGACGCAGTGTTTTCCTCGATGAAAACTAGCCGGCCACAATGGCTCACAGTTTGCTTATTGTAATGAAACAAATGCCTGAAATGTGGTCAGCAGGCGATGTTTTTTTTTTGAGGCCAGTAGAAAACAAAACCCCAGAGAAACTGCACTACAAAAAAAAAGCATTAAAGTGTATACCAAAACATTTCAAATAATTAATCTTTATTATTAAAATGATTATTTAATATTTCTTTAAGGTTAAATGTATTTAATGTATTTTTTTGACAGGAGCAAGTAAATAATGGTAATTTCTAAAATATTAGACTGTAAAAAGCCAAAGAAAAAATTTCGATCTACAGAAAAAAAACAGAAATTAGATAAAAATTTTCCAAATTTTCCAAACTAGATTTTTTCAATATTTTCCTAAGTGTATAAATGGTTTACGGTTAGCATGCCAAGCTCGCATTTAGTCCAGTTTCAAGTCTGACTTACGGTTTTCCCCTCTATTCCTGCGAATCTTTACAGGGTGCCGGCAAGGAAATCCGAGAAGCAATCGCCGATCCCTCGCCGGAGGTGACGAGCAAGGCCTGGGCAGCGGTACTCCCGCTGGTCAACAAGCTGAAGCGCTGCTACGAGCACTCCATGGAGCTGGACAAGATTGTGCCCAAGCTGCTGGGCCAGCTGGTGGGCGGAAAACTGAATCCAACACAGCATCTGGAGACCCAGCAGGCGCTGGTCAAGCAGCTGGCCGAGATCTTGGAGTTCGTGCTGAAGTTCGATGAGTACAAGGTGAGTGAGTTGCTTTGACAGCTGGGTGTTACAAGCTCTAGACCATATTTGGCGATACAACGCCCACCATGTTAACCCATTAATTGCCGGTGGTGGAAAAACCAAGCAAAGCCATTAAGTTGTTTGTCTGTGACACTGTAAATTTAATGACAATTTATGGGTCAATATAATAACGTAATAGGAATATTTCTGGCGATTTTAAAAATATTTTAAACCACATTTAAATCAATTCAATTATAAGATTATTCATTCTATAGATAAGAATTTTAGCTAATGCATTTTACAATTTTCCTTTCAACATAAGAAAAATAAATTAAAAAAAAAAAAAAAAAAAAAAAAATTAAAAAATTTATTAAAAAAAAAAAAAAAAAAAAAAAAAAAAAAAAAAAAAAAAAAAAAAAAAAAAAAAAAAAAAAAAAAAAAAAAAAAAAAAAAAATTAAAATTTAAAAAAAAAATTAAAAAATAAAAAAAAAAAAAAAAAAAAATTAAATTCCAACTTAGTTGAAAAATTAATCATCAAAGAAATCTAAAAAATCAATAATTACCTTTGCAAATTTCTAAGTATTGAGGAGCAAAATCAGGCAGCAGCCTATTGAGATTTAATTGATTTTTTCTCCGTCTGTTTAGTGACTTGTTAGTGGGTTAAAATTCTGTCTTCTTCACTGCCTGTTTGTCTGTTTGTTTACCTTATGTGGGCGCTGTCGACAGCCAGCCGAGCCAAAGCAAAGCAATATCTAAAAGCCAAGTCAAATGAAGCCAAACCAAGTCCCACTGCCAACTCATTGTGCGCGTGGTTGCATTTTTAATTGACTGACTTACCGCCTGCCTGCCCGGCTGACTGACAGACTGGCCAAGACGAGCGCGTGCTGCGGCCCATTGATGAAAAATCTTTCGGGCCATCCGTGCATTCGTTCGAGCCACAGTGGAGCATCGGAGGCACTTACGCGCACGCAAGCCAAATGGCCCACGACAAACGACCGATGGCCGGATGAAGTTGTAAAGTGAATAAAGTCGCTATGGTGGCTCAACAGCAGGGGTTATTAGAATAGGAAAAATTAAATATTACAAAATGTTTACAAAGATAAATAAATTTAAGAAAAATATCTCTAAACTCTTAACAACCAAGCCAGAAAATCTTTCATAAAGCACAAAGATATTTTTTTAATCACAATAATCTTAAAATATCTAAGCCAACACCTATGTTTTAGAATAGTAAAAAAATTAATTGTCAAAGATATAATAGATAAATAAACACAGGGAAAATATTTCTAAACTCAAAACAACCAATCTCAAATCAATTACAATAATGCCAAAAATATATGAAGCATATTAATTTTCTCAATAAAAAATATAAAACTATCAGAAGAAAAGGCACAAATTTTCTTATTTTTGATTAAAAATGTGTAATTAAATACCTTTTCGTACCACCTCCATTATGGGTATGAACCATAACAAAAGCCTGAAATAAGCAAACGAATATATCCGCACTGGGTTAAAACATTACCTACAGCCACACAATTTTCTGTGGCAGTTGAATACGTCGGTTTATTGTCGGTAGAGCCAAACAGAATCGATTTGTTTAATGGCAAATCCCTGTGAATGGCGCATTTCCCATGGCTCACGCTTCCGTTTGGCGAAACTTTCATCGAATCGATTGGGGAGCGGGGTGAAGTAGAGGGGAGGGATCTAGGACAATCGGGAGGTAGGGATGGCCAAGTCATCGCCATCGTCGGCTTCTGCTCTCTGATGTCTAGTGTCTGCAACTTTGTGTTACTGCTCCCGATGATAATGATGACGATAATACCGATGATGATGATGTTAAACGCTGTAAACTGCACGTTCATTGTGTGCTCAAAGTGTCAGCTGCCTGGCGCACAGAGATTTTCCCATGTAAAAGTTGTGTATATAGCCCAAACGTGCTTCCCAACTAACAGCCACTTCCACTTCCGTTCCTCAATAAAGACCATTGTCTCTGCGCCTTTCTTTGTTTCCATTGGGGCCGCAAAGTATGCTGCACAATTTATTGACTTCACTTGTAACTGGCTTCGTTTTAATGTCGACTTTATTGCGAAAAATCTTCTGACATCGAGAGGCACTTATAAATAGAGTGTGATGGCTAAGGAAAAGGTATATAGTTCCCTAGGGGAAGTTAAAGAAATTTAAAACCACAAATTAAAAGTGTGATTCGTATCAGGATCGTAACACAGAAGTTAACAAAGTAATCAATGGGGCTTTGCAAAAGGGTAGGAAAATGTTATCCAAATATTATTGATATTGTATTTATATGAATCACTCATCAACACTATTTTTAACAAATATTTACTGTATTTATACGTTGACTGTAAGCAGCTGCATTTTTATCTTTATCGGTTGCAATGGATCTGTCCATCCAGAATACAAACAAAATTGTTTTCTTGGCACGCTTTCAACCATAAGCCTAATGGCTCTTGAGGGGATTTATTCAATTTGGCTTTTGTACAGACTAAAATGCATAGAGTATTTCCTTACTTCTTATCGAAATCTTCGCCGGTGCTGTAAACTGGCTGCAGGCGTCTTGGATATTTACGCAAATAATCGGCGTAATGCTGGGCATATTTGGCCTGAAAGTCGCGACGCCTCCAGGGTTGAGCGGGTTCATAGAAGTTCTCGTTATTGCTGTAGATAGTTTGGTAATTATTTTGGTAGTTATTTGCGGCCAGAGAGCGACTGCCTCCTATTTGGACCACTTGCTCCTCATCTCGACGAGAATCGCTGGAATCCAGTTCGGAATTGGATTGGGGATAAGGAATATATTGGGGATATTGGAGGGGCGGTGAGGGAGTAGTTTCCTGCTGTTGGTAGTAGAAATATCCCGGTACATTATTGTAATTATGATTGGGAGCACGCGTTGCTGGAAGCTCCTGTCTCCTCCAATTTGGATAGGAACGCCTATAGGGTTCTCTTCCATCATAAGCATTATATTTTGGATATTGCTGCTGTTCCTGGGCACCAAACTGATTATCATTCACTATAATTGGCGAACCCGACCAAATCGATTGCACTTCTGGAGAGGAATACGGTTGGGCGTAGTTGGTTGTGGGAATTGCATAAGCATTGCCATACTGTGATGCATACTGTGCATCTATCATCAGGGGCAGAAATGCATATAGCTAAAAATAATAATTAATAGATTAATCATCTCAGGTGTCGAATGATAATCGAGAGTCACACTCACCAAGCTCAGGGAACTGCTCTTGACGATCCGTCCTGTTCGCGGCTTCATTTCTGACTGTTCAGAACGATTTATGCTAATATCGTATTTATATGAGGTTTCACAACAGTCTCTCGGACACCGTATAGTATAGTATTGTATAGCAGTGCATGATGTTCGTTTGCAGCGCCTTTTGCCAAGGTGATTGGATGAGCAACAACCCAACTTTACCTGACTCAAAATTTCGCGGCGGCGAGTCTCAGAAGTAGTAGTATTTTTTTTTCTCACGCACGTTTTCGATGCAGCCCTGACAGCTTAAGTGCGGCATCGTTGTTTTGGTTTGGGCCTGGCCCGGAGTGGAAAACCGTTTGGCATCAGGCAAATTGCGGTGTCACGTACGGCGTAATTAGTAATTAGATTTTCAAGTCAACCGTAATTAGAGGTTAACAAGAGCGAGTGTTGAAAACGGCCGATAGCTTCAAAGCTCTGACTGCTTTATGATCTCGTTGGTAAAGTTACTTGCTATGAGGAATATTAAAATGGAAGAGGAACCTATAGAAAATTCACTAGGAAGGAACAAACAAAAATATTTGAATAATTTAAAGCAACTTTATTTGTAATTTAGGAAAACTAATAAAGTTTTGCAGTACAATATTCCGTAAAAAATTAAAAACTGCTTAAAGAAAAAATTTTGTTTAAATTTTGAATTTTGCTGGCTTGTGTTTTATGTTTGATTCACTTTTATAAGTTTGGACGCATGTGCAGAATAAAGAAGGCACCATCACGTGGCACTGGAAGCTGGCTCAGGAATTCACCGCCATCGTATGAATCGTTAAACAATTGGGTTAAATAGGAGTTCGGTTCCCTCTGTTTGGCCACAGGCATTCCATGGCACGTGCTATCGCGCGTCAGATACTATAAGGAAAAAAAAGAAAATTTAATTGGCCTTTGAATTAATAGAAATTCGAAATGTTTGGCAGAGTATTAAGAAGAGGGAAACTTCTCTATAATAAAATAAGGTCGTATATAATTCCAATTTTTGGAAATCTTTAAAAGTACATCTTTAAAACGCCCATACACGTTAAAAATGTTATACAGAAAGTATTGAAAAGCATTATTGTTAAAATTGGGTATTATTGCCTTGAAAAGCATTGTTATTGTTGTTAAAATTGGGTATTATTGCCTTTATAAATGTAGAAATTGTTTTAAAGGGTACATCTACAAGATTAACTTTCCACTTATTGGAAAAACGTTTTTAATTAAACATTAAATGGAATTAGTACGCACCATTCTTTCCCTTATGGTTGTTAAATTTTCGGGCGGTGGAGGATGGTTGAAAGGCTCCTTCTTGAAGATGCTTTCGCCACAGCACTTGAGTATGTGGGACGTTATTATATTCCTCGACCTGGCTTCAGCCACATTTTGGGGTGTTTGGCGCAGCTTGTCCATCCACATGGTGGCCATAGTTTTGGAGCGAAAATCCAGGTGACATATCTGACGCTCCAAATTCTCAATGTCCCGTTCGAATTCGTCGTCGAATTTTGAGATTTCAGGGTTGGGTTTTTTGGCGACCGATGATGTTTCCTGCCTGGGATGATCCAGTTCCTTCTCGCGCTGACGTTCCCTCTCCAGTTCTTTTTTCCATTCCAACTGACGCTGTCTTTCTTGCTGTTTTTCCCGTTCAACCTCCTTTCGCCTTTCCTGTTCCCGTTTGCGTTCCAGTTCCTGCTCCTTCTTGCGTTCCTTTTCACGCTCCTTGCGTTCCTGTTCGCGCTCCTTGCGATCCTGACTACGCTCCTTTTCGGTCTTCGGCGTTTGGGGACTCTCCATGACGTAGCTCTTCTGCCTGTCGGTGCGAACCAACATCCCGAAACGTTTTTTCGAAAACATAAAAACTTTATTTAAATTTACCCTTCTTGAATTTCTCGCCTGTACATCTTTTTAAAAATGCCCTTGAATCCCTTTGTGTTTTTGTGGCTCATTTTGATGGATGTTTCAAACCAAACTGATGGAGAAACAACTGATTCCAGAACCGTTTCCGCTATTTTAAAATTATATTATTATTTTACTTATAATAGGGTTTCAAATTTTCCATTTTCAGATGAAAACACCCGCCATACAGAATGATTTCAGCTACTACAGACGCATTGTCAGCCGGCAACGTGTGGACTCCACGGAGAATATGTTAGTCAGCACAGAGTTGGCCAACCGGATGTCCTTGTTCTACGCCCACGCCACGCCCATGCTCAAAGTTCTGAGCGAGGCCACCTCAAAGTTTGTCAATGATAATGCCGATGATGTCCAGAACACTACGGAAACGCTGGGCACCATGGCGAAGGTCTGCCTGAGGATGCTGGAAAATCCGTGAGTTGAAATTAATTAATTATTAAGGTCCTAAATTCTGTGAACTATGTCTTGAAATCTGTAATCAGAATTCTAAATATGTGTTACATTTTTTAGAACCACTTAAATTCATAATTTTATTACAGTACAAATAATCTAATCGATTCCTTATTTCTTACAGAAAACTCCTGCAACAGATCGAGCGTGAGGACACGAAAATGCTGGTGCTGCGCGTAATGGTCGGCCTGGTGATCCTCTACGACCATGTGCATCCGGAGGGGGCGTTCGTGCGGGGCGCCCATGTGGACGTGAAGGGATGCGTTCGATTGCTGCAGGCGCAGCCGGCCATCAAGGCGGAGCCGCTGCTCAACGCCCTGCGATACACGACGAAGCATTTGAATGGGGAGAACACGCCGAAGAACATACAGCGCCTACTGGCCGCATAATAGCGGAGGGGATCGGAGGGAGGAGGTTCATTAACGTTAATTTCTATGTGTATGCGTATCGATTTAAATGGTTTTACTTTATTTATGTAATTAGTAGGCTTCTGTATTATTTGTAAAAATTGTAAGCGAGTGTTGTGCTAGCAGGAGGCAGCCTCTAGTTTTACTTTTACCCTGTGTGCATTTCCAGCATTTGTTTCGTACTGTTTTAGACTCCAGCCTCCGCGTAACGTAACGAAGTCGGATGAAGTGGAACGCATATATCAGCAGCAACAATATTTAGTTGATAATCTAGCCCTAATTTTAAGTAACGAATGGAACCCAATTAACCTAACAACAAATTAGCGCAAAGTTTAAACGGATGGTTGGGGAGATATGAGAGATAAATCCTAAATTTCACTAAAGCAGAGATTATAAATATAAAATTAAACTTTTAAATCAAATCTAGAGTATTTTTTTGTACATGACGATGTGTAGAACGAGGTGTAAAGATCTAAACAATGCATAAATTAATTGAAATACTATTAAACAAAAAACAAATTGTACGAACTAAAATGCCTACACACACACAACTGAACCACAAGCAGAAAGCGGATGCATTTATATATTTCCACGCCGTCAACTTTGATAAACGTATTTAAACAAATCTACAAAATAAACTTGAGCTGCGCAATAATAATAATTTTTAAGATTTACAAATAGAAATAAAAGATTAATGAAATGGCAAAACTTAACGCATACAATTTGTACCAAAAAACAAAAAAAAGAACAATGAAGAATCACACAAACTAAATAAAGATTTATATATGCGATAAGAGCGAGAAGAAACTGATGAAAAAACTATAGAGAATGCTGAATCAAAATAAATATCACGCAAAATCAACCACATTAATGTTTGTTTTAATGGTATGGATTACAGATTGTAGTTATTGAAAGCCTTTGATTCCAAAATACATATTTTAAAATGTAATATTTTTAAATGGCTGGATTTCACGATGGTCTTAAGAGCTAAGGATTTCTCATTTTGAAACCCAGTAAAATAAAATTGTTCTCTAAGCTTCTTTTTAATATTGCTCTTTATTTAAATTCAAAGGCGTTTAAAGATCGATGAAATTGCCGTCACGCCTTGATCAGCATGGAGCCTATCCACAGCAGGCGACATCGTCCTGCTTGGGAGCCTTCTTGTCATCGACAAACACAGGTGCGCTGCGTACCACGTGATGGTGGTGATTGTCCTGGTCGACCATCGGAGCTTCCTTCTCGCTGATTTGGGGCAGAGCTAAAATTACATGAGAACCAGTTATATGGAGCTGAAACGAAGGTTACCCATTGCAATCCTTGCCAGAAGCCATGAAGAAGGCGAGGCCCAGGATGAGAGTGCACAAAAGTAGGAACTTCATGGTAATTGCTGGCTTGTTGTACAGATGGCTCGGTTGCTTCTGATGCCCTGGAACTGTCCAAACTCCCTATTTATACAAAATACAGTTCTAAAAAACGCCCCAAATTGGAAAAAACACTTGTCGTTGCACAATTTCAAGGCACCTCGTTAGCTGTAAAGTAATTGATATTGAAATGTAGCTTGTTGTATTTGGCAGCGATGGGTAACGCTATTAACGAAACACATAAAGCTTAACAATTGATTTTTTCTCTTTTTTCTTTTTTTTTGTACAATGGAGCTTCTATAATTAAACAAAAGTAAAAAGGAGAAATAAGGGTGTACGTTAAAATTTCGCTTACAAAGCGAGGGTGTCCGAATCAACATATAAGCAAAGAAAAGGGAACTAGCATTAACTAATTAATTGTCCTGGAAGCGGGCCGGTGCTCATGTACTGTTGTTGTTACTCTGGCGCGGCTTTAGTATCAGCTTCCCCGTGTCATCACAGCTCATATTGAAATCTCCCAGTACCGTTCGCGTTCGGGACGTTATAATCTGCGGCGCTATGACCAGTTTTTGTATGCCCAGGATGAAGAGGACGACTGGAAGGGAATTAAGAGGATTACAATTAGTACTGATTCATCATTAAAATAAAAGGGTATAATTCACAGATTTAGTTGATATTAGTACTTCAAAAAACCTAAATAAGATATTCGTTTTTAGAAGAAAAATTACTTAAATTCTAATCAGCTTAGCTATTTATATTGGAGTGACAAGGCATAATGTTAGCCTGGTACTTGATTTGATGACCTGATTAAATCATCAAAGAAAATCGTATTTGATAAAGCTGTTTGCAGAAATATAAAGTTGTTGATAAGCCATATTATTATCTATCTAAAAATAATAATGCTTGTAAAAGGCTAGCATAAATTAAATGGTGTAATTAATCTAAGATTTTAACCACTTTGTCAAGATTTTATTTGTTTATAAATCATAACATTGGGGAATTTTCTTCCTTTACTGACAAAAAGAATTATTTTTGTGTATACAGTAAGTTGCTAAAAATAAATTTTATAACATGGGAAAGAAAAGAAAAAACGGACCTATACGTGCTATTCCCGTATTACGGTATTATAATCTAACTCTTCATTGCAAGTCATACTATATTGGGAACATTTAAATTTTAATAGTATTGATTTATTAGATAATATTAAAGAGCCTAAAAATATAACTGCACACAAATTGAGTGTTGACAGGCCCCCAGTAATTTCCCAGTACTATTATGTATACAACAAACCCGAGTTTTACGACCATGGTCTATGACTAAGTCAAGTGACCTATCCACGGATGGAACTACCAATTATCCGGAGCACTTACTCAGTGTCAGGGTGGCGACTGTGAAGATGGGATGGATCAGGAGGGACTCCGTCAGCGGAACGATGGTGGTGCGTGGGTCGCGTAGCCAGTACCAGGCGCTGATGGCCGTGCACATGGACATGGCGGAGAGGACAACTGCAAGAAGTTCTACTGTTATTACGGGCCGTACTGCTCCCGTTTTTCGTGCTCCGGGTTTAACTTACTGCGCCAGCGGAACGTCGAGGGACGGTACGATGAAACCACTTCGGTGAGGCGCCGTTCGAAGGCCTTCAGATCTATGGAGATGCAAACGAAAACAAACCCAGTTATACATAGTTGGTAAACATAGTCAGTGGGTTGCGCGTTTTTCGGGGTCTGGTCTGGACCGGTGACTTACCTTCGCAGGCTGAGGGTTCCATTGCAGCTATTTCCTCAATGCTCGTGGCCGCCTTGATGCGATTGAATTTGTCCAGCTTAATTTTTGCAAAATTTCCTAGTTTTTGATAGGATTCTCATAGCTTTCTTCCCTTTTTTTTTATGTTTTTGATGATATTCCACATTAGCCAACACTAAAGCAAGTGGTGTTGACCAACACTAAAAGGCATGGGCATGGCAAAGGGGTGTGGAAAACCCCCTCTTCAAATGCAAATTTGTTTATCAATTATATAATAATTATGTAGGGAAAATTCATATAATTAAATTGTACAGATTTTATTTTAAAAACAAACGAGCTACAAGAGCATATATGAAAACAATTAACAAATAAATACTTTTCTAAATAAGTGATGTGTGTTAGAAACAATTATTTAAATGCAAGGAGGCTTACTTAATAGAAATGCTATCAAGCGAATTATTTGTTATTTAATATAAAGATATTAAAATTATTCATTTTTATATTTTTAAAATCAAGAACCCCGCCATATGTTTTTCTGCCCACGTCCATGCTTCAGGGTATTTTTCATAAAGCGAAACGGTCACTCTGCAGCTGTTGCAAAAAAAGGCGGAAAATAAACTAGGAAAATCTTTTGATTTACGCGTAAATGCAGCAAAGTTAAGGTGTTTAAACGACGCCATGAACAACACCAAAGTGCCGCCCGAGTGGAAGAGGCGTGTCAAGTCGGAATATATCAAGATCAGACAGCAGAAGCGCTACAAACGCGCCGACGAGATCAAGGAGGCGTGGATAAAGAACTGGTAAGCGCGGGAACGGGAAGGCAGAAGTCTGGACTTAAAACTAGTCAAATAAATAAATCCCCCAGGGACGAGCACAACCACAATGTACAGGATCTGTACTGCGAGTCGAAGGTTTGGCAGGCTAAACCCTACGATCCGCCGCATGTGGACTGCGTGAAGCGGGCGGAGGTGACCAGCTACAATGGCATTCCCAGCGGGCCACAAAAGATTCCGATTTGCGTGATCAACGCCGTCACGCCCATACCCACCATGTACACCTGGGCCCCCACGCAGCAGAACTTCATGGTCGAGGACGAGACGGTGCTGCATAATATTCCCTACATGGGCGACGAGGTCCTCGACAAGGATGGCAAGTTCATCGAGGAGCTGATCAAGAACTACGACGGCAAGGTGCACGGCGACAAGGATCCCTCGTTCATGGATGACGCCATCTTCGTGGAACTGGTCCACGCCCTCATGCGTTCCCACAGCAAGGAGTTGGAGGAAGCCACCCCGGGATCATCCATAAAGCTGGAGACCTCTGTAAAATCCAAGGAAGGAGATGGGGATGAGGATGGCGAAGTGGATGTGGACGGATGTGGCGAATCTCCCAAAGAAACCGGAGAAAGCGGAGACCAAAGTCGATGATCCTGTGGTGGATAAGAAGGAGAAGGAGGAGCCGGAGGCCACTGAGGGAGCAGATGTCAAGCCCGCCGTAGAAGATGTCAAGGACAAGCTGCCCTTCCCGGCTCCAATTATTTTCCAGGCCATCAGCGCCAATTTCCCAGACAAGGGCACTGCCCAGGAGCTCAAGGAGAAGTAAGTAATTTAAATAGCTAAATGAATAGCAGATCATAGAATTAAATAAATTTATTTTGATTCTCCCAGGTACATTGAGCTCACTGAGCACCAGGATCCGGAGCGTCCCCAGGAGTGCACGCCCAACATAGATGGCATCAAGGCCGAAAGCGTTTCCCGCGAAAGGACTATGCACTCCTTCCATACTCTTTTCTGCCGGCGATGCTTCAAATACGACTGCTTCCTGCACCGTAAGTTCAAACATGGGAACTGCTGCCAGCTGGGTTACCTAATGACTTTACGTTTTGTTTTTGCTTTTCTTTTCTTGTTTGGAAACAATATTATCTTGCCAAAAAAAAATCTGTACCATTTCTAAAACCCCCCCCCCAAAAAAACACGAAATTCGAAAATGTTGTATTGAAATAATTGCAATTTAGGTCACCATGTGCAGGGTGAGTCGTTGTTGTAGTTGTTGTTTCGATAACCACACGCACACACACTCATGCCGTTAGCCCGTCCACGCCTCCGCATCCTCATCTCGCTGTCTATGAATATAATTATATAATAATCCCTCATATATCTGTGGATAATTGGCTCTGTTTGTCATGTGTCGAAATTGATACTTCGGTGTTGCTCACCTCATTCCGTGTGGCTTTGCCTGGACCATTTCTGTATCTCTCTCTCTCGAAAAGTAACCGATTACCCTCATGCTAATCCAAAAGCGTTTCATGGACATCAAATGATTTCTTTTTGATTAAATCTTTCTAATTCCGTTGCTCTATTTCCGCAGGCTTGCAGGGACATGCTGGTCCCAATCTGCAGAAGCGTCGCTATCCGGAGCTGAAAACCTTTGCCGATCCCTGCAGCAACTCCTGCTACATGTTGATTGTAAGTTGGAATTAAATATAAAATAATAACGTTTCAACTAATTTTTTATAACCCTTTTATACAGGATGGCATGAAAGAAAAGCTGGCGGCCGATAGTAAAACGCCTCCCATTGATTCCTGCAATGAGGCCAGTTCGGAGGACAGTAATGACAGCAACAGTCAGTTCAGCAACAAGGACTTTAGCCATGAGAATAGCAAGGACAATGGTCTGACTGTAAATAGCGCCGCCGTGGCTGAGATTAACTCAATTATGGGTGAGGTTTAAAATTAAATAATAGTTTTTCTATATAAAAACCTTATTATATATCCTTTCAGCCGGCATGATGAACATTACCAGTACGCAGTGCGTCTGGACGGGCGCTGATCAGGCTCTTTACCGTGTCTTGCACAAAGTTTACTTGAAGAACTATTGCGCCATTGCGCACAACATGCTCACTAAGACCTGCCGTCAGGTGTACGAGTTTGCCCAAAAGGAGGACGCCGAGTTTAGTTTCGAGGATCTGCGCCAGGATTTCACGCCGCCGCGCAAGAAGAAGAAGAAGCAACGCCTGTGGTCGCTGCATTGCCGAAAGATTCAGCTGAAGAAGGACTCGTCCTCGAATCACGTGTACAATTACACGCCTTGCGACCATCCGGGGCATCCGTGCGACATGAACTGCTCGTGCATTCAGACGCAGAACTTCTGTGAGAAATTCTGCAACTGCAGCAGCGATTGCCAGAATCGTTTCCCCGGCTGTCGCTGCAAGGCCCAGTGCAACACGAAGCAGTGTCCTTGCTATTTGGCGGTGCGCGAGTGCGATCCCGATCTCTGCCAGGCCTGCGGAGCGGATCAGTTCAAGCTGACCAAAATCACGTGCAAGAATGTGTGCGTGCAGCGGGGACTGCGTAAGGAACTTTCTTATATATATCTCATATTACTCATAAATTTGAAATATATAGATATCTAATCAAATCTCCCTTTTCCAGACAAACACCTGCTCATGGCTCCGTCTGACATTGCCGGCTGGGGCATCTTCCTCAAGGAGGGCGCCCAAAAGAACGAGTTCATCTCCGAGTATTGTGGAGAGATAATTTCGCAGGACGAGGCCGATCGCCGTGGCAAAGTCTACGACAAGTACATGTGCTCGTTCCTCTTCAATCTGAACAACGATTTCGTTGTGGATGCCACACGAAAGGGCAACAAGATTCGATTCGCCAACCATTCCATTAATCCGAACTGCTATGCCAAGGTAATGATGGTCACCGGCGACCATCGCATCGGGATCTTTGCCAAGCGGGCCATTCAGCCCGGCGAGGAGCTGTTCTTCGACTACAGATACGGACCCACAGAGCAGCTGAAGTTCGTGGGCATCGAGCGTGAGATGGAAATTGTTTAGTAAAGAGTCTACTTATGAATATACCATCATAAAAAGCGAATAAAACTATATTTTTAAAAGAACCATTCAAACGGACTTGGCCACATTGGCGATAATTGGTTTGGGTCGCGATTTGAAGATCAATTTCTTCGTGCAAACAGCGCGGACGGTGTACTCGGTTCTCTGGCGACTCTTGTGCTCCTGAGCAATCGTGTGATCCAGCACGGTGCGCTCCGCTCCTGTGGTGGCATTCATCATGCTTACATCCTGAGATGCCATGCTGGTATCGAGGAGGAGTCGTTCTCCTTCATTGGTCTTGGACTTTTCGAGCACAGCAAATGGTTTATCCAACTTTTGTTCGCGGCCCTGCAGAATGTGATGGCCTATGATGAGAATCTGGTGATGATAAAAATGGATTTATTAAGGGTTTATTGGTTTTTTTAGTTTGCACTCACAGGTTGACCGTATTTGTTGTAGTAGAGATCGCCAATGAACTGGTCGTGCATATCTTGGTTGCTCCTCACCTCCAGGTCGCCTTGAAGCTCTATAATAGCCCAATCACCTTTACCAGAGTTTTGTCTGAAATTAAGGATTCAAAAACTCTGAATTATTTGGGAAAACGTAGCCCGCATTTAGAACATTAAAGAAATATTAAATAATAATTAACAACATTTAGAACATTTAAGAAATATTAGATAACAATTAACAAATCCCAATGCAATGCAAAAATAAGCTGCTGTTACTTTTTTATAGAATTTTATTCATGCTTCACAGCTTGTCTACGTTTATTCTTAAGTCTAACCCCTGAACTTCTTGAACAGAGGATGCACGCTTCCGACATTCTTGCGTCGGTGCTCGTAGTAGATGGCGTCGTCCCCGCCTGACATGGAGCTGAGTCCACCAGCTCGTCGCACAGTGCCGCCCGAACCACCTGGACGGAAGCCCGGCTCGCCCGGCAGCTTCTCATCCTCGCAGTCCAAATCGGAGGCGGACAGGACCAACTGCAGCAGCTGTCCCTGCTCCTCCTGGGTGCCGTACATCAGATCCGCGTCCGTGTCCATGCCCTTGAGATGCGTGATAACCTTGTAGCTGTAGCCCTGGTTGACCAGGAACCGCTGTCGCTTGCGCGAGTAACTCATCTCCATGGTGTCCTGCGAGACGAGGGTGTAGAAGAAGGCGTTGTACTCCTCGGCGATGGCGCCCTTCTTGGCACGCAGAATTCGACCGAGACGCTGAGCCTCCTGGCGACGAGAACCGCCATGCGAAGAGATCTGAATAAGCACATTCGCCTCGGGCAAATCGAAACTGGTGTCGGCCACTTTGGACACGAATATGGTGTTTACCTGTAGTAGAAATGTTTGTAATTAAAGTTATACATTTCCTTTTACTAAACTTACCTTCGAGTTAAACTTAAAGTTCTGCAGGATCTGGATACGCTCGTTTTGCGATGTGGGACCGTAGATAAAGGGCTTGTTCATCTTAATTGCATAGTGCTTTAGGGCAAACACATTGTCCGAGAAGACAATCGTTTTGTCGCCTCGCTGCTCGTGATATTTAATCAGAAACTGGCAGCTGCGGAACTTGGAGGGATTCATCACATAGAGCAGCATCTTCTTCGAGGTCTTGGTGGTCAGGTACTCGCGGTAGAACTCCGGCGACATGGGGCACCACACCTCGGCGCACTGGACGCGTGCAATGTATCCCTTCTTCTGCAGCTCCAACCAGTTAGCTTCATAGAGCTTGGGTCCAATGAGGAAAGTTCAGATCCGCAATCTTGTCGTCTTCACGAAGAAGTGTGGCTGTTAGACCCAACTTGCAATGCGATTGAACGATGGTCAGCACGCGACGGAACATTTTGGCTGGAATTGTGTGCACCTCGTCCAGCACCATGATGCCCCATTCCTGTTCCTGCAGCCAGCGCATCGTCTGCTCGGCCTCCCAGGATCTCTTTTGCGTGTGTGTTATCATGGAGTAGGTGGTCACCAGTATGCCGCAGCCCATGGGTTTGTCTTTTGCCTCCGAGGTGAACCTACAAATCATGCTGTCGTCGGCTGTGGACCACATTTTGAACTGCTGCTTCCACTGCTCCACGGAAACGCCACTGTTGCAGAGGACGAGGGCTCGCTTTCTTACAGTACAGCAGGCGGTGACGCCCACCAGGGACTTTCCAGCTCCGCAGGGAAGTACAATTACCCCGGAACGGGCTCTTCCGTTGCCGAACATCTTGCGCAGACTCTTCTCTTGATATGGACGCAGAACGGCCGCCGGTTTGAGGTCTATATTGATGTCTGGATTGTTGGTGTCGTTGCGGAAATCATACTCTGCCAACAGTGGATGCTCGATCTCGATGCAGCGCTTCTGGATCACCTCGATCTTCTCCTGGGCCACCTCAAAGGAAACGGTCTTCAGATTGGCCTCATCCTCGTCCTCCTCCTCCTTGTCGATCTTCTCGTAGAAGTCGGTTATGTCCTCCGGCACCGCCGTTGTTCCATCTGCGGCTGCTGCACCTCCAGTGGCTGCTGCAGGATCCTCAGCGGGTTTCCCTGCGGCACCTGGCGGCAACTTGGTGCCGAATTGGGTGATGGCCTTGCCGTCCAGCGTGCCCTGGATAAAGTCCTCGCCTTCGCTGCGTATCAGTCGGCATTTCTGGATCACGGGATCCTTAAGTAGTTTCTGCAGCACCTCGGGATGCGGTGACTCTATAAAATACTTGTTGTGCTTCAAGACCAGCTTGACCTTGCCGTAGGACAGAGTGCACAGTCTGATGAACTCCAGGATGCCCTCGGGAATGCTGGTTTTGCTCAATCTCTTGAGATACTCGACAATGTCATGCGTTTGCAGGCCCACCGAAACGGCGGCATATAAACTGTAGGCGGTGAGTTTATATTCGTGGATGTGCTCGGGTCGGCAGACGGGTTCCGAGATGGCGATGAGGAAGTCGTGGGCGTGCTTGTAGACGGGCGAAAAGGATTCCAGGAAGACGTGCCCGTTGGGAGCGACCCAAAGGGGACGATTGCCGTGATCCTGACGCAGCTGCATCTGCGCCCGGTAGTCCTTGGCCCCGTACTCATCCGTATTGATTTGCTCATCATTGGTCTCGGCATTCTTGGAGGCTGCCCCAGGAACTCCGTCCGATTCCGTGGCATCTAAACTATCGTTGTCGTCCACCAGTTGGGTGAAGGCCTCATCCTCGGCACGCCGCTTTTTGGCTGTGGAATATCTCGCGGATTACACGGAATTTCGGTGGTTTTCCATTCGACCCGTACTCACCGAACTTGTCCGAGCCACTGCGATCCTTTTTCGACTTTTTTGGCGGCCCCATTTAAACAAAAACCAACAATAATTTCACAATAAACTAAATTTTTTTCTTTTTTTTTGTTTTAAATTGGGTTGCACTGCTAGATACTAAAAATACTAAATAGCAGATTGCCGGAAACGAGTTCTGTTAAGTTAACAGCTGTTAGTGAGTCTGTTCAGCACTGAGTGGTTTTCGTATGGCCGTTAACAGTGCGCGAGGAGTGGAGTGGAAATTGCAGGGCGAAGTTAACAGTGCGCACGAATTGGAGTGGAATCGTTAACAGTGCGCATGGAATGGAGTGGAATTGCGAAGAAATAGAGCCGACCAGGTGGCAACGCTGCCACTTTTTATGCACTTTTGTTTACACCGATTTACACCTTATATTAGGATTTACTTTGGTTGTATTTCTAGCTACTTACGTCTTTACTAGAATGGGCATGTTGTTTTTGGTTGGTATAAATAAAAACACTTAATAAATCGCTGTATAAACAAAGGAGACCGCCACTTTGACTACTTGCAACACTGATAAATCGATAGCCGATAACCGTAAAGTGCTGCCACTCTACGTACCGTCAGCTGTTTACAGTTTTGGAGCCACTGCATATTCAAACTGAAATTCAAAACTTTATATTTAATATTTTAGTTTTAAGTTTGTTTTTCTAGTTTATATATCCAGTCCCATGTGCTTTGACCTAATTCTCAACAGATGTGAAAAATCTATACTGTGCATAAATAATGGCCGCCGAAAAGAAGAAACCCCCGCCGAAGAAGAAGTCGCCGGAGAAAAAGAAGAGCGGGGACAAGTCGAAAAAGAAGTCGGACGACGATACACATTCCAATCTATCCAAGATTTGTTATCTTATAGCCGTTTCTGATCTGCTGCATGCCTTGTATTTCACCGTTCAAGCGATGATTCTGTTGGTTAAGCAGGTAGGGTATCTTTCTATTTAATAATATATGGTATTTATTTAATTAAAATTTTTAAATCAAATAAATAGTTCAGCGTTTTTGCTATGTTGGCGCTTCTGGGTGTCATTTTCTGGGTTATTATTGTCATTATGCTGCTTGTTGGTCTATGCAAGGTTCGTTGGCATTACTTTTATTTACTTAAAAGCTTAAAATTAAATCTACATTAGCGCAAGCCAGGTTTGGTTCGATTTTGGCTCATATTCTCCATAGTCGGCTTTATCACCGACATTATATTTCTGCTTTGGGGCATTGCGACTTCAATCACTGTGGATTGGGACCGGCTTGAAGAGTTTTCAATCATTATTCTTGGCATATGTGAGTTTTGACTTAAACAATAATTCATTTCCTAAATTGTTTAATTTGTAAATCCTTTTTAGTTATTGAATGTTCCTGCATTTGTTTAATACATCGGTACTACAAGGTTATGGGTGAGAAACCAAAAGAGAAAAGGACCTTATGTTGTATGCTATGTGGATCCTAACTAATTTACATTTTTTACTAATTAATTTTTATAGGCGGCGGAAATAATGACAAAAAAAAGTCGAACAAAAAGAAGGAAAAGAAAAAGGGCAAAAAATAAACCGTTCTATGCTGTACTTAAAAAAACACGCTTAGTTGGCCTTATTTTTTCAGTCAAATAAAATATATTTTTATATGCTTGGTTTAGAAAGTTGTGTTGTTAAACTAAAAAAGAGTAAATATATTTTATAGAAAATGGCGCTAGAAATAGGAGAATGGAATATCCCTAAGGATATTCAGCGTTCGCTGTACTTCTCATTTAGTTCTGTTTCTGTCATGATTTCGCATGTATGTGATTAAATAATAAATTAAAGTATTTTTAGCTACTTTAGTAAGTTTTCCTGATACTTCTAGACAAATTCGTATACCATTTTGGCATTTTTAAGTACAATAGCTTGGATTTTCACCGTTGTTGGACTTTTTGTGGGTCTATTGAAGGTAAGAGTTTTTAATAAAGTCTAACGAGTATTTTCTTAAAATTCCACAATTTAACTTTGTTTTTTGAAATTTAGGGTAGACCAACTCTTCTTGTATTTTGGTTACTTTTTTCTGGTTTTGCGACATCTACTGATATTATTTTCCTAATATGGAATGTAACTTCGTCCCCTGTTTTCGACGTACATCATTTCAAGCTCTGGACTATTTCTTACTTGGGAATTTGTAGGTTTACTATTAAATATATTTTTAAAGATAATCATAAAGAAAACCTTTGCAGTTTATGAGTGCACTTGCTTGTACTTGGTATTCCGATATTTCAGAAGACTATATTCCTATCGTCTTCTGGAAGGCGACAACTATGATTGGACATCTAAAGGTGGTAAGGAATAATATATATCTATATCATATACTTCATGGAAAAAATTTATTTAGAAACACAGAAGACGGTAGCAAAGATGAAGCAACTGAAGCAATATCTGGAACTTCAAATACTAACCCCACTGAAGGATAAAAGCAAGAAAAATCACGAAAATAAAAAATATAATTGTTATTACACAAGGGCAGTCTTCCCTTATGAATTACTACAAAAAATAAAATATTTATTTCGTACAATCGCATATTTTCAATTTACCGGTCAAGTGGGAGGGCCAAATCAATTCCCACCCCCACACAAACAATAATAATAATTGACTTACACAGTTTTCCATCTATTTCCCGATGCCTTCGAGGACGAAAACCTAGTCACGTTGCCAACGGGGGACCAGGACAGGCAATCCAATCTCCAGGGCCTGCTGACAAAACAAATGCCATAAATGAGGAGCGGACAGATGGTCTCGCACAAAACTTGTCATATCGTCGTCGGCAAAAGGCACTCCACATTGGTAAAGATTGTTTTGAGAATCAATTTACCATTTAATTTTAGAGCCTTGTACTTAAATCGAAAGTTGAAAGATATTTATAATTTATGTGGGAATGAAATTACGAAAAATGGTTTATTGTATATAATACTGTAAAGTAAAATATTCACTGATTTTTTATGTAACAATGTATAATTTATAAATGAAATAGCTTTAAAAACTCTCAAATTATTAACCTTTTAATTATAATTAATAAAAATGTATTACAAAATAAATTTAATTCATTTTAATAATGCAATTTAAAAAATGTTTAAAAGTGAGTATATCTAAAAGCGTCTCCTTATTTAGTTGGACTTTTGATAGGGATTTAATTTAAAATGATTTAATTACGAATTAAATTGTCAGTTTATTAATAGGAAGATTTGAAATAAACATTTAGCCCACTGTATTCATCCACATTCCAATCCTTGACGACCACTGTGCGCTGTCTGGGACTTTTGGCAATCAAACGGCATTGATTAACAGGCAGCGAAGACCCCCTTCTTCCCTCGGCAAGTACGTGCTTATCATCATTATGGCTTTGATTTAGTAGACAACATTGCCAGTGATGTGATGAACCCTAGCTCGGGCAATGGGGTCAAATTCTGATGGATATTTAGTGCCCTGCGCCTATTGCATCGCCTTGCTGGACTTCATATCCGCCGTGCTATTCGCAATTATCTCAGGAGTGGTATTTGCCAAGCATGTAAGACGATTGGCTCATCCTTTTGGGTAAGGAATGAATATGTTTCGGTATTTTCAGGGTAATTGGTCTGCCTTGGTGGCGCTGATCTTCACCATTTTCTGGATGATCATAATCGTCATTCTTATAGCCGGTATCTACCGGAGGAAACTGGGATTGGTTCGTTTTTGGTTGGTCTTTACCTGTCTGGGAATACTTTTGGATGGCGTTATTTTGCTTTATGGTCTGACCTTGGCCATATCTGTGAACTGGGAGGGTGTGAAAATCACAGTGCTGCCATTTGTGGGATTGGGTTGGTATTAAATTAATATAAATTGCTAATTAAATTTATTGAAATTAATATTATTATTTTTTACAGCTGTGGAAATGACTTTTGTCTACATTATTTACCTTTTCTATCTGGACATGATTGGATATAGTCCTCCGGAAACGCCCTATGAAGAGCCTCATAGAGAAAAAAGCGGCTGTGAGGTGGAATACGCGGAGGAGAAGGAGAAGCCCTTGAAACGTAGGGATTTGAAACGCATGGAAAAACAAGCTAAGGAACGTATGAAGAGGGACAAGGCTGTTCTCAAAGAACTGCAAAAACAAATGCGAAAATGAATTTATTAAATTTTGCGTTTATATTTTGTAAATCATTTTAAATATAATTTCTAACGAACGTCACTAATTATGTCTCCCGGTTCTCGGAAAGCGTTCTTGATTAGAGCTCTAGAAAGCGCCGTATCCTTTGTCTTCGTTCTTGTCTGGCACAAAGCTCTTTAACTTTTATCACATTTAGGATGCGGACCTCTTCACACCTACACAAAGCACTCACACAGGCACGCATGTGCCAATGTTAAACACAAAATCCTTTTAAAATAATTTGCTCAGCAGCCAAGTGAAGAAAAAATCAAGAAATGTACATTCACCTTGGGTGAATGCGACCGTGTTTAATGCCCTGTAAAAATAAATAATAAAAATTGTTACCATAAATTAAAACCTAAATTTTTTAAAAATGCATAACCATTTTGAATTATTATTAAAAATAATAAAAATTGATAAGAACAGAAATCCTTCCAAATTTTTAAAACACATATTAGTTTTTTTGTTATTCAAATTTGATAGATATAAAATAAAAATAAAAACACAATTTTATTTTATTACATTGAACTGCTGTCCGAAGATCGAAGGAAACTCAGTTTCATGGGATGTGTTGGGGCGTTATGAACTATTTTTCCTCTGGGATGTTGGATTTGTGGTTGTCTTTTAGGCTGCTGTCTGGGTTCTGTATAAGTATGATTTTCTTGGACAACTTTTGACGTTAAAGCCTTGTGACACGCCTGACAAAAGGCCAAAGTCACGTAAAATCGCTGAACAATGTACAGAAAGATGCACTCCACAACTGAATGAATACAAAAATTAATTGAAAGGCATCCCCAATATCAATTCGTTAATATTGCACTCACCCAATCCCAGCATCAGCAACAATCCATTTTTGACCAGACCCATTTGGAAAGAGCTCTCGCTGAAAACGGCATACAAAATCAGGCACATCTCCACCAGGATGCCAAGGCAGGAGAAGATAATCCAGGCACGAACACATCTGGGATTGCGCTGTAATTAAGCGGAGGATACCATCACACGCCCATGAACCACTCTTTATATACCCCATGAATGCCAACCAGGAGCATCACAATCATCGATACCCAGAAAAGGCCAAAAATAGTCGCAAAAATTGTCAGCCAACTCAACTGGGAAATATGGGGATGTGAGAATTTTATAAAGCAACATTAAATGGAAGGGACTGCCTTACGTGATCGCAGATCGTCTTGAAACTGACCATAGAAAAGAGCACTGCGCTGACCAGATCGAAGCATCCTACAGCGTAGGCCCAAATCAATAAAGAATTCCTGCTAGAACTCATATCGAAAATAGAAAATATTATTGTGGCAATTAAATATAGGAAAAGTGATCTCTTTGTTCTAAAAACTATAAGAAAAATAAACAAATTTTTGTAAAATATTTTTAAAATTGGTTAAAGGCTTAGTATTTAACTATAATGAAGTTAATGCATTTTAAATAATTTAAATAATAAAATGATTACTAAACTATATTTAAGAACTATTTTAAAGTTTAGAGATATATATTTTTTATAAGATTTAAATTAAAAGTATAATGAATTTTTAAAAACTTGGGTAAACCACAATTGTGCCCACAGCTCTATCACACCCTCGACAGGGTATCAAGGCGGAAACGGAAACAGCAGCCAAGTCTCGCAGCTATGGCTGTCGCATCTATTTATGCAGGGGAAAAATGAGACATACCACCGTATATGTATGTATACACTCGTATACCCCATACATAATGCCATGCTGATGAAATACGTGCGGCGGCAGTCCACACGCACACAACCATTACTCTTCCCCTGTGGGTGAGAGCGAGAGCAAGGGGAATCCCCGTTGACAAATATAATTTACTTTTTTCGCGCTCATTTGCAACTCGGGCGAAGAAAAGGGGGAGACATCTCGATCCCCCGGGGTGCGACAAAACCTTTTTAAACATCTCACTTCCAGTTTAAGTTTTGCCAACAGCCACAACGGGGAACTTGAGAGAAACAGAAATGTTTTAGAGTTTTGGTTAATTTAATAAAATAATTCATAAAACTTATAGGGGAAGTTTATTGAAACTAATAAATTGACTTCTGTTTATCAGTTATAAGTTAGTATTTCTACAGAGCTGTAAATATTTTGGCGTTCATTGCAGTTGAATTTTTTTTTACTGAGAAGTACCTAGATTCCAGCTTATGTCCAAAAATTAAATGGGAAAAATATTTATTTATTCAAAACTTATTTATTTCTTTTATTCCTTAGAGCCAGAAATATATTTTATGTTTATTTTTCCAGCAAAATTTTCGAACTTGTGATTTTCCGCGTCTGTATTTTACATTTATTAAGCAATCAAAATACAAGTATTTATTAAAATTGTATTTATTTTTGGGAAAGACCGTGCAAAATTTGTCATAAGAAATGTTTTTTTAAACTTAAAATAACAACAGCTGAACGCAAACAGAGCATAATGAATGCATTAAATGCCTTTGGAATGGCCATTGGTTGGATGGATATTGTGGGAGTGCTGTTTTTCGAACTAATAATGTTCTATATGATGAGGCGTCGTCGTTTGGCAAGGGAATCGGAAGACGAGTCGGTTGAGGCGCAAATAGAAAGTCAGAGGAAACCATTGCCCAGTAAGCTTATAAGGTCACATAAATAAATTTGAAGTTCTAATTCTATTCCCTTCAGACCTCTTCAGCAAAAAACAGCTGAGTGAAACCGAAAACGTTTGGTTATTCTGGGGCTACCTGTTGATGCTGAATGTCTGGGTTGCAGTTACACTGTTCATGATAGCCGGCATCTCATTGGTGGGTAAAATATCCCGGGGATTCCCATTGATTTCGTTGCCGTCATTATGCTCCCCTTTCAGCACAAGCCGGAGCTTATGATATTTTGGTTGATTTGGTGCGCTTGCGGTTTGGTCTTCGATGTCCTCTTCATTTTGTGGTGGGTCTACGAGCTTTTTGTGGGAGACGCCATTGAGGCACTGACCAACATTTTGATCTCCCTGCTGACCATGGGTAGGTTTTTAATGATTAATGAGTGTTTCACTTCTTTATAATGGTTTTTTTGCAGCAATTGAGTTTGGGTTCATCTACGTTATTTACACCATCTACATGAACTTGTCCGACCCCAAGAAAGAAATTGATCACAAAGGTAAAGATAGATTTTCTGGATTTTCCCTTATGATGATTTCAGATTCGAGGCGATACATTTAAATTCGATTCTCTTATTTTATTCAATTTAATTAAATTGGTCTGAGTTCTGAATTAAGTTCTGCACAGAAAAATATGACAAAATATCAATTGATATTTGTTGGTTAATTTGATCTTTTTAAGGATCAGTTTCGTCATATCATTCTAACATGAAGAAATATTATTTTGATCTTATTTCATATTAATTTTTGAAAAAAATACTGAATTCGGTATTTAAAACAAGTATATTTACAATTTATATGAAATCGTATGACTTTGATATGAAAAATATCAAATGTCGTTTCGAATTTAGTTCGAAAGGGGAAATAGTGTTCCACAGTTTACAACACTGGATTGTGCAGCACTGAAAAGAGCTGGCCCAACTTTGAGACCAAAAATATTCGAGAACAAGGTGTTTTTATTGTCAAATGAAATCAATTTATTTTTTTATTGAGTGCTAAGTCGAAACATTACAAAGTTGTGGTGATTTTAACTTTGCCGTCGAGTTAGCACACAATTTAAAGACATTTCGGTTCTGAATGTGCGTGTGTGTGTGTGCCGGCCGCAGTTTTACGTTGTGTGTGTCACAGGCAAAACTAAAATAATAAAATATTGACATTTTGCTGGCCCACCTATACATATGTACACCGACTCAAAAAATGTGAATGATTAGATTAAATTGTTTTAATATAAAATAAAAATTTCTGTTTTACTGGGGGGTACTAATATACACGAAATAATATCATTTTGATGAACAAAATTGATATAAAAATATCATTTTGATGACCAAAAGTTCAAATGTTATTTTAAACACTAATCTTTCTTAAGATTGAATTGATATTTAAAATATCAACTTGATATTCTCGAAAATATCAACTTGATATGTTCGAAATATCTCTTGATTTTTAATATCGGCCCAAATTTGATATGAAATAATGTTAACTTGTGCTTTCATATCAATTTTTTTCTGTGTGAGTTAACGATTATTAAATTTAAAATTGGATTAAAGAAAAAATAAAATATAAAAAAAAATTAAATTTAAATAAAATATTATAAAATATTTAAAATTACGTAAAATACATGTGTATAAATACACGATTTCTTTTGGACTGTAAAAAGTTTCCTTACGAGTTTTATCTTTATTAAAACTTAGAAATTCTTTTCAATATCTCCATATTGCGCTTATTCCTTCTCCGCTTTTCAAACTACCGACCACAAACTCATTAAGAAGCAGCTTTCCCGGGTCATAGGTCATCGTTCATGCAGAGTCAGACAGAAGGCCATATTTTGTATCTGTTGTGCCGCCTCTTGTTTCTCGTTTTCCTGTACTTCATCTGGTTCTTTGAAGGGCTTTTGTAGTTTTTAATGGTCTGCAGCACGGAAATTGATTCATTTCCGTTTTTTGTTCGGCGCTTCCGCTTCTGTCTGCCTTCCTTCCCTCCATTCGCGCTGCTTAAAGTCCTCCGGAATATTCTCAGCTGCCAGCTGCTGACTGAAATCAAGTTGATGCTGTGTATTAGTCCTAATTCGGCATCTAATTCTATTTGTCGGGCTTTGGAACAAAGTGCGGGGATTGTCAACTGTCACTTGCAACACGATGCCAAAGTGAAAAGCAAAATATTTCTTCTTTATTAAACATTGCTTGGAGTCCGTTTATTTTTCACTTTTTTTATTTATATTTCTATTTTCTATTTTTTGCGGCGTCCTTTGGTCCCATGCGCACCAGTGGTCGTCCTCGAAGGAGCGACTGGCTCCTCAAATTTATTGTTTGCAAATTGAAATTCTTGTCGACACGCACGAGCAAATCCATTGGGAATGCACAGCATAGCGTCCCAGCATCGCAGAATTTCAGCATCTCAGCAGCTCGTCAGCGTCATAGTCAGAATTTGGATTGGGGCGGCAGTCGACGGGGGGCATGGCTCTGGGACGGATTTGATGGCTTTTGTGCCCGGGCAGCAGCTCATCATGGATTTTTAGTATTTATTAAGACTCTGATGTGCCATGAAACATATTTGGAAAAAATAAACAAATATTTTAGCGCAGCGTTGACAGACGGAAAATGGGTATTGGGTGCCGAAAAGCCAGACGGGAAAATCGAAAAGCATCGCATCGTTTTCCTCGAAAATCTAGAACCATCATGACCTCTTCAATATGGAGTGCTCTTGCAACACGTGTCTAGATTATTCACTCTAGCCGATACTCTGCCAAGGACCCTCAATTGGTAATCAGCTTAACGTAAGAATTTAAAAGAGTAATTTTAAGATACATATAATTCTTAAATAACTCAAACAAAAATTATTTTAGAATTTAACGGGCAGTAAGAAATATATTTTATAACCAAATCATTCACAAATAAAACTTTTCCAGAACAACGTGACTGGGTGGTTTTACTGCTGAGCTAAGGTTTTCTCTCCATACCGCACTATTGCAATTAGAGAGGAGCTTCTCTGATTTTTTGTTAGTTGCTATATAAAGTCAGTTTCCTAACTCAGTGGCTTAGTTAACTGGAGAAATGCAACCTGTGTACATCTTGATTTTAGCCTGCTGCCTTGTCTTAATGCACGAAGGTAACTTATAGAACAACCCTCTTGTATCTTTAATTTAACATATTCTTTCTTAGGGCAAGCTGTGGAGAAGCATGTATTTCCTGTGGGTCCTCCAATAAATCAGAGAAGTCTTCGAGATGTTAGCGCCTTTGCCAACCCAGGGCAGCCGGGAAGGCCTGGCTCAGGCCGCCCTAGAAGATGGGGAAAAGCAGGTCAACCAGGAAGTCCAGGAGGATCTGGAGGAGCAGGTGGAAATGGAGGGACGGGTGCAGACGGAGGAGCAGGTGGGGCTGGTGGACGAGCAGTAAGAGGAGGATATAGGGAAGCAACCTCATCAGGTCAAAGGCGACCAGAGCCAAGGTCTAACTATTATTTGTTTTAAATAATATCATAAAATATACATTTTGTAGCATACCTATTATTTAATAAAAGCAAATATACACCCAAAAAAAAAAAAAAAACCAAGAACATTTATCATGATTGGCGAACAATCCGTTCTCCTTTTTTTGTTCTCACATTTTTAACGTTTGTTCTTAAAGACGTTTGTGCTTGATTTTTGAACGTTTCGAACGGATTTTTTTCTGGGTGTACCACAACAAAATTTGTTAGTCAAGAGACCGACTTTTTGTGAGGAAAATCAGTAAAATAAATTCGTTTTGTACCATTTTAGAAAGAGAAAAAAAAAGAGACATTAACAAACATTTTTCCACTTTAAAATTAGTTAAATCATTAAAAAAAATACAAATTGAGATTGTTTAAAAATAATGACTTGAAAAATATTTCTGTACACTTATTTTTTAAAGCCCTTGATTTTGGCTAATTACATTTCGGATTGCACAAACTGTAAGGAAAAACAAATTAGGTCTCAGAAAAAAAACATGTAATAATATTCTCTGATTGCTAGCCAGCCATAAATATTCCTTCTTTATTGAGTTTTCTCCATACTAATTAGTTTTCTTGGGCAGAATGCCGTCAACGCTTTCACATTCCATCTGGCACACAATGGCAATTTTAATTAAGTTATATAAGAATTCTCATCCCGCACCGTTTGACTCACCTGCCGGCATAATCAATGTCGGTGCTCAACTATCCCAGTACTCAATACATTTTATTTACAGAGCGTTGAGTGAAAAAAATCCATCAGAATGGCAAGTCTACGCAGGAAATTGATTGATTTCCGCAACGTGGAGGTAAGGAAAAACGGAAAAATATTGCCTTTTGTAGTTGAATTTAGGTGGGGATTACAAGTTATGCGGGGGGAGAGGGCAATTAGTGGGTGAAGGTGCTGGGAAAGGTGATGCCGTATCATCAGCACCACCCACAACTGAATGTTTTGGCACACCAAACACCAACACTAAACGCACGTGTGGGTTACTCGGTGTTTGTGTAGGTGTGTGTATGGGGGTCCTGCAGGAGTCTGAACACAAGTATACTTGTGGCGGCAAACATAAACATGGACAAAACATATACACGAGTAGCATAACGCGATGCACACACTGACACTCTGCCGGGGTGATATGTTTTTTGAGGGGGAGGGGGATGATGGGAAGTGGGTAGGTGAATTTTGGCATAGTTTTCGGGGGTCTTTGTTTGCATATCCTTGGCACTGGCGTAGCACGTATGTGAGTGCAAGTTAAAAGCTAAAGCTTTGCTTGTTACATGCTCAATTAAGCTGGAAATGACGCCGCTGGAAGCTTAAGTCACGCTTTATATAGTTTGGCATTTTCGAGTTGCATTTGTCGCTCCGAACCAGGGGATCTCTATCTATCTATCTGGGTTACAAAGAGCCAGGCGACCAAAAATATTTTAAAACAATTTTTTTTGAGAATGAAAATACTTACATATTCTTATTATTGATTCGTTGTTATTAATTGCAATTAATAAATATTTCTATGATTTTTTTACCATTTTAATACTCTTTTTAAAAATTATATTTTCCTGTATATTTTAATCCTAACACTTTTTTAAACTGCTTTAATATTTCAAAAATATATATTTTTAAATTTTTAAAATAGGTATTTTTAACCTTTGTCGCCTGTGCCATTGTATTCCGGCAAATGGAATTTAAAAGTGCCTTTCGAAAGAGTCAATTTGTTAAGCAAACTCTTGACTGCCGTGCATGTTTATTAAACCATTTAAAAGGGAGCACTGCACTTGCACCTGCACTTAGGGAAAATGCACTGGGGCGGAGTACCACAATTTTGTACTCCGCGTCGCTATCGCCTTGAGCAAATTATCGAGCATGCGAAATTGCCTCAAGCAAAGGTGGCAAACACAAAAGCGGCTGCCAATTAGCGCCGGTGGGATCCACCATAATGTGCTTAGTCATGAAAGGTCCTTTGTGGGTGGTGCACGGCGACAGGACACGTAGATTCAGTCAGCCGGCGATGAAACCCCACACCTAATACATTGAAACGGCCTGCAACATTGTTTTGCGAGGCCATATAGTGGAAAAGTTGGCCCCGAACAGGACATGACACACTCACTCACACGCTGGCGCACTTGGAATTGCAAATCAGTCGACTAATGTGTACATAATCAGTCATGTCCCAACATGTGAATTCCATTAGTGATACACGGCCATGCAAACAAACAAGCATTAATCAGGGCGACGACGAAGAGGGGGTGCGAAAGAGAGTTCCTCCCGGTGTCTGGAGGGACTAGGTCCTGGATCCCAGCCAGAATCCCATCTAGTGGCAGGACCAACATGGACTCCTCCCGCCTGTCAGGCAGTCCGCCAGTCAGGCAGTCCACTCGCTGTCTATTACAGCTGGCATGCCATCCATATGCCGTATGCCATATTCCATGCTTATGTTATTTATGCTTATTGTCTCGGGTCACCAGGGCGGATGAAAAAATATTGTTTCCCACTCGACTTACAAATTACGGCGGCAACTGAAGCAGGAGCTTCAGCCACAGCCGCAGCCCACCTTGATTTATCCTCACATTTCAATGCAGGCACTGGGCGAAAATTTAACAACATTATTTTAGTAGGTCAAAAATTATTGTTTTTTATGTAAAAAAAGATACAAAATCTTCAAGGAATGGAAAAATGAAGAACATTTTATTCCCAGTTTACCAAAATATATTTTTTTAAAATCATTTTAAATAAAATCATATTTTCTATTTTAAAATGGTTAAAAAATATATCCAGTAAATAACAATAAAAAAAGGATATATTATATTTTTAAATTTTTGTATTCCTGATATAATAAAATGCAGTTTTATTAATTTATGCAAATGGATTTAGGATGAAGAGAATCGTTTTATTTTATTTTGTGCAGTGCCTTTGAAGGCGCCGTTCGCTTAATACGCCATTCATTTGGTCGCGTTATACTTCATTAAAGCAGGAACCATCAGCGGATCCTGGCGGAGCGGGAGGATTGGGGCTGGGGCGGCCTTTTCCGGCGCCTTGGCCGCAAAGTGCAGTCGGCAAAAATTATGCGGCTCGTTTGCGATGCCTGGAAATGCGACGGACGATGGCGAAATGGCAAATAGCAAATGCAGTGCCAACTTCAACTGGCTCGGGCCATTCGTTTATCCCTTTGTTCTCATTTATTTGCATGTCATTTGCTTTCCCTCCGTCCGGCATCTCTGTCCTTCTCTCGCTCACTCGTCACGCAACCACCCACCCGCTCTCTCCCTCGCACGCTCATTTTCTTCGTCTCTCCCAGCTTTTCCATGGGTTTTTCCTGCTCTTCCTGGCGGTTCTGCTGGGGTCACGTTTGTCTGCCAGGATGCCAGTTACTTATGGCTGTTATGTGCATTATCAATATGCATTGTACGGCTCCTCCTGCCGCTTTATATTTTGCCAGCGTTTTTCTCCTACTTTGCATTGGGTAACATAAATTGCTTGTGCTGTTGGGGCAACGGATTCAGTGATATGGAATTTTCAATTATTTCTGAATTTATGCGTGTTTTTCCAGTGCTTTCAAGATATAAGCATGCAAAATGGGTGTACTTATAATGGAGAAATTTAAATAGAAATCGATTTTTTAGTCATTAACTTAAAAAGTGCTTAAAGGGATTTATTTTGTAAAAAGAGAATTATATATTTTCCAATTAAATATCACTCATCCGCCATGTCGAACTTAATGTTAGTAGTTAGTTTTTATTCACATTTTATCGAAAAGTAAGGGTAATTTAGCTTCGTTCTGGACCTGAACTTTTTACCTCTTTACCCGCATTGGATATTTTGCCTCTCTGTTATGCAGTTTTAATAACGAATTGCTTTTTTATGGTTTCCGGCTTATAGAGCAGCACAGAAATTGGCAAAGAACGAAGTTGCCATGCAGCAGTAGCACCGAGGAAGATTCTTAAATCATGTCTTGTTTTTGTATTTATTCTTAAAGTTGGATTTCAGATTCTTTTTCTTGTTTTTTGTGTTGTTTTTGTCCTACTGCCTTAGCCGGTTCTTTGTTAATAATGTTGTTGCCGTGGTGGTGCTATTATTTTTGCTTGCGCTTTGTTAACCAAGTCAAGACTGCGCCAGCTGCAGCTTCCGTTGTCGCCACAGTTGCCATTGCCGCTGCCATTTGTTCGCCGGGCGTAATTAGTGCTCATGGCATAGGGCGCACTTCCCCCGACGCGCTGCTCTATCCCGGTTTGGCCCCTTGGAAATTCCTGCCCCACCGACCGTTATTCGAAGGATACTGGAAAAAATTGTCCGCCAAATTGGTTATTAATCTGGTGTTTGTTACCATTGCAAGAGCATTTATGTAAATGAAGTATTAAGTATGCTAACAAAAGACAAATGGTTTTAAAGGTATAATTTCAAGAACTTTTGCCTTCAAAGATTTTCAATTATTCATAACCGTATTTATTTTAATTAATTTTACTTTATCTAAATATTATTTTAATATCAAATTAGTTTTTAAAGAAGCTCTTTTATTCTTTACTGTTTTGTTAACGATATTTTTGAAGAAATAACTAAACATTTTGTTTGCACAATTAAATGCATTGCTAAAAATCTTTTTTGGAAATGTATTTTATTCTGTCAAGATAAAATTCATTCTTTTTAAAATTTATAATATTTAATCAGCAACGACTTTAAGAAATATTGTAGTTTAATACATTACTTGTTGATAAGATTACCACCATCTATGTAATTACAAATACCTTTATTTTTCCAGTGCTTCTTCCGCTGCTCCTCATTTGTAATCACTTTCTGTGTGTGGCGTTGCCAACGTTTTGTTGTAAGGATTTGGCCCGACCCTAAGAAAGCTTTCACAATTACTTTGGCTTGGACTGCGAGTTAATTCTGCAGCTCTATCCTGGCCTGCGCTCGCTGGAGTTTTCGCGTTAACAAATTCGTTGTGTGCCAGGCATTGAGTTTCCGTTAATTACGACCATGAGTTGGCTGAGATTAGTGATGAGCTGGCTCCCTCTGATTATTAACTAATCCAACAAATTGGCGGTTCAAGTGTACAAATCGTGACTTCCTCGATGGGTTTTACC